TTCAACTGGATATAAATTACCAATTTTTTGAAATGCTTTTCAAATAAATTGCTAAACATTCGTAAAATCGATAGTTTCCAAACAATCGCTTGACTGATTTTGGGATAATACAATTTTTCAGCTGAACACAATGAGTTATCCAGAAAGATGGATATAAAATCAATATTTTAAAGTTAAGATTACAATGACCATAAATAGGATAAAAGATTATAAGTAGATCAAACAGTTAAGATTACAGAAAATAGAATATAAAATTCATAAACTTAATTGTTCAGATGAGACATGAATTAATTTAGATACATGAAATATATAATTCATTTAGAAACGACGCTTGCAACTGTTAACTGCACCTGTATTCTATGAGATTGTTTACTTCATTTGAAATGCATTTCACGAATTCATTAGAATATTCTAAAAATAAGAACTGAAACTCGCTCTAAAATCAATGACACATTAATGATACATTTGACCAAGTTGATAACTGATAATAATAACAATAGTTATTATTATTATAACAACAATAATAAAAACAATAACAATTATGAAAATGATTAAAAAATAACTAACAGTTCATAGAAGCAACGTTCACTGGTTGTTGACTGACTATTTGAGGTGGTACCGAAATAGTCGGTATACCAACTGAGGGCTGCATTGACATTGGGTAGTGCTGACCAGGTCTTATTGGCTTTGCTGTAATCAAGTGCGATTTCATTTGACGATCGTTTCGATTAGTCAATAACAATGAATTACGTTCACTAAGTTCACGTTTACGCAACAATTACACAATTGAAAAACAAAATCAGTCCTTCCTTTGAATTCCACTTTTTATCTTCAATTTTCATGCGACTTTCTTCGGAAGCAATCAAATTTATTTCATTTCGCAGACTTCTTGGTAACCTAATGATCATAACTGACATTACATATTTGCATGATATGAAAATAAAACAATTCAGGAACAACATACCGATTTGAGGCGCGGCCAAACCCCTTCTGGCCAAATTTCGTTGTCGTACAGCCTCTTTGATGCGCAGCACTTCATTTTGATACCTGAATTTATATTCTCTATCACACAAACCCATAATATGATTGATATTCAGCGAAGTTATGGCCTCGAATGCNAAATCAGTCCTTCCTTTGAATTCCACTTTTTATCTTCAATTTTCATGCGAC